GCAGAGGGCTAAAGACAAAAGGAAATCCAATTTAGGGTCATCTATAATCCCAAACAAAGATCGAAAACCAATCATGAGAAGACCTTTTGGCCCGCATCATCTGAGTCACCGCATGATTCGTGCCTAGCGCCTGTTTCCAGCTGAGGTGACTATTTCGAATTCTAATTCCAAAAGCTGGTCTCACTTGTGAATATTCTCACGACAATCTCGTTCTTCTTCCTCATCATAAACAAGTGGCATCGATTCGAGATTTGATGGAACTGCTAATGCTACCGTCTACATCGCTAAGAGACCACGATCAAGATGTTATTTCAAGCGTACGCAATAACAGGCCGGAAAATGTATCTCAGTAAGCCAAAGAGACCTAAACCTTGAGAAAGCCGATGCTCTAGAGGAGAAGGTAAAGTTCATTTCTTTAGATAGTCACGTATAACTTGGCATTTATAGCTTTACAGCAACACTTGTTCATGATGTCTAACTTTTAAACACACCAAACGTTTCTAACTATCCGGGGTAGTCACTCGACAAAAATCGATATAGGAAAACCACTCGATAACTCGATATTAATCGATAAATTGAATTCAAGTGTTGTCGATGATATCGGGGCTCGATAAAGCTCGATACTCACACGCTTGCTAGGTTCAAAATTATCGATTATATCGATTTTATCGATCGGAGTTATTGATCGACGTTCTACGTTGGTTTACGCTTTAAAACAACTGTATTCATCGACACCTCGTTTGATTGTGACTTTTTAATTGTGGATTTCGTAGATGTACACCACTGATTTCTTTCACTATACTTTTTATATTATTTTGTTGCGAACTTCATCATTTACAATGTTTTACTGATTTATAGAACAGTTTCAAAGTTGTTAATTAATATGGTTTTTGCGAGAGCAAACGTTTCGCTAAGCTGCATTCTGGAAACTATTCAGAACATTAAAACCAAGTTGGTTCAAGCGACGTAATTGAAAGGCGGGCTAAGTTCATTTAGGTACAGCACTTTCGTTCATGTTCAATGAGTGTTAAAAACAAAAGTGGAATTGCGATTTTTCGAAGTTCCCGATTCTTAGAACCAAAAATCGTTTCCCTAAACCCAGTCCAAAAGTTAATTTTACCCCTGATTTTTTGAACTACCCGATTTTTCAAACCAATTGTTGTTTCCCTTGGCGGTTCGAATAATCGGGATTCCACTGTCTGATAGTAGATATCATTACCAATCTCTCTACATTGAATTTTTATGATTCAGTATTAAAATATCGTTTTTTATGAGACTTAACCCTTTGAATACCAAACTTTTGCCAAAAAATACCGTTTTTAGCCATTTAGTCTGGTTTTTTAGCTGCCATGACAATAAATAGGCCTAAGTTTTGCTAAGAAAGCTTTTTTTCACTAAAAGTAGAGATTTTTCGAGGGTTAGGTACAAAATTGAGCATAAGCCAAAATTTGGACTTTTTTTTTTTTTGCCATTAACCGATCTCAATTTTGTTTGTTGCCCCTTTCCTTTCTGTTTTTCTCGGCCCTTTTACACTGGCTACCTTTTGCGTTGAATGTTCTTTCTGGCTGCCGTGAAAAGTTGGATGTTAATTACGGGCGAAGCCTAGAAATGGACCTTGATCAATCGTAGGCGTAGTGGACCATTTTACCAACGTTTTTGCACCAAAACTGATAACGTTGTTTTTCTATTTGCGACGTCGGAATGTCGTTGATATCTAAACCTGACCATTGTGCGGAAAGGCCTAGCCTAGTACTACTATCTGCTTAGCAAGAATATCTGATGAAATTTAAATTGATGACGTCACAAGTGGTACAAAGAGCATGACCATTAATTGCGCATATATGCGTAGTTGGTATTCAAAGGGTTAAGACAAGTCGTAGCAAGTGTTATTGATAATCGTTTAAGGAAGCTGTTATTTGTGGTTTGTGCGAGCTTGTTTATATCTTTTGTTGGTTTTGTTTCGATAAATTGTAAGACAAGCTAAAATCGATAAATTCGATATTTATCGATAAAATCGATAGCGCTGAGTGAAAAACGATAATTATCGATTACTCGCAACGAATCCTGTTATCGATTTTCGATATAATTGACTGAGTTTTATCGATTTTATCGAGTGACTACCCGGGTTAGATAGCATCAATTGTTCCGTTGCTAAACGTTGCATGCGACAGTGATCCCTTTACATCTGATTTTACGACGTTCCGTTTCCAGGTTTTTGGCCGCGTCACGAATGATCATCATGTCAAATCAGAAGGATGAACCACCAAACGTGACGAGACTCGATACTATGTTAACAACATCCTTCAAACGATAAAGCAGGCAGCGAGGAAAGAACTGAAATGGATCCATCTCCGTCTTAATATGGAGCACGGGTGGTCGTTTGGATTAAATTTTCAAGGCGCTGCGACTACATACTGCGCATGACGTCACTGCCCGCGAAATTTTGGGAGCTGGGTACGAGTCGCCTCGTCCAACTAACATCCAAGCTTAGTTCTATGCAGTCTGGCCTCGAACCTTTTTAGCTTTCCGAGAGCACTCCAAAGGAAGCCTACACAAACGCAAGGTGAGGCTCTAATACTGTATAATCAAACGGTCTAATGAAATACCGTTCAACGGTCAAAAGTTCTCTCGATTGTGCGTTTATACCTTACAAAAGAAACATAAATGAACACCGTCGCGCTTTGTTGGCCGCCATGTTTTGACAAGAACATAACGCAATTTCGTCGCCAAATTCAAGCAAACACGACTTCCAGACTCTCTTTTCGGTGATTTATCACACCAAGAACATACAATCGAATACCACACGCGGTAAATCATGGACGTTGCACACGCAAAGGACAAAAAAATACTACGTAATGCTCGCTGGTTGCAAAGCAATCGTTTTGTTAACCTTATTCGAGGAGACCATCACTTGGATTTGTTAAAGGGAACAATTTCACCGCAATGAAAGGAAATGAACGGTTTTATCATGTTACAAACGGCAACAGTTTCAGCTTTATTGACAGCTGTTATCAAGGTGCAAGGCTACAAGCGAAACATCACACAGTTATCGTGAACAAAGATCCCCAGGTTATAAACCAAAGATATTTAACTTTAATGTTGTCATAAGTCATTCAAGACTCGTTTAAAACAAGCACTGGACATACTCTAGATAAGAACTTCGAAAGCATATTAAACCCAGCCTCTGTATGCATTGGTACGCAACAATACAAGGCATCAACATTTTCGCAAGGTGTGAACTGCTCAATCAACACCTTAACATGTTTAGGAAATGTTTTCTAAGCGATTAAAGTATTTCCGTAATTAAAGACACGCGCCTCGTCGCGTGTGTGTTGACGGTAATAGGGCGTAGAAATTTTTCCTATCTCAGAACATGACATGTTT